AGACACCCTCCTGCAAAGAAGCGTTAACAATTCCCTGGAACCAGGCTCGTGTACCCTCCCGAGCTGCCAGTACCAGCCAGGAGGGGCACGGATCCAACAAACATGTGGTTGCATTCAGCCCTCCCAAGACCCTGTCCACATCCTCGGGAGCAACAGAGTCAAACTCCTCCCATATAACCGTCTCAAGACCTGCTTCCGTGACTGTAGGGGCACTGTAACGGCCAGAACTTTGAGGACCAGTCATAAGTAGCATTTGTTCAGTTATTACCTAGGGACACCTGTATCACCAAAACCCAAAGGAACATAAAGATTATTGAATTTATCTGATTTAAGATTGTAGCTCTCAAGTTAGAGCTATACACAGTCCCAAGATACACAGCTTCATCTCTTTCTCTCTCCATTATTAAACCAATGTTGAAATTTCCTCCATAACATTTTTTTTCACTCACGCCTCTCTTAACTCATGATGTTTATTTCAGACCATAAGAGTGTTATTGAAGAAGCTGGTCTCCTTTCTGTGTCTCTTTTCTTAAAGATTTAAAAGAAATGTGTCTTAGTGCCTTGGCAAATCTGACTTGGCAATCCAGGACGCAAGACGAGCACCCCAAAACCATGTTCTCAAAAGACAAGGTACGGATCCGTTGTTTCTGCTCTGATCTTGGACCTCTAGAATGGCTGAAATCACACAGGACAATTTTGCTAGTGGTGGTTGAAAGAAACCTACCAGAAATCTCCTATTTATGTGATTAAATGTTGCTTTAGTGTTAAAAAAATATTTATCTGCTGCTTAACCATGGTTGGGCGTCATTCAAAGCCATTTAGTAGAATAACTAGTGCAATTTAAAAATTTATCCATGGAGCCAATGCAGTAAGTAGTAAGGCCGTTTCTGAGATGAACAAAAGTTGTTGTTTTTTTCTAAAAGTTTGCAAGAGCTAAAATTCTCAGAACCAGCTTCAAGAACACTTTCCTGGTATCGAGTACGGAGGGAATCCTGATTTGGTAGCAAGGATTCTTGGGATGGTTTAAACTTTTTGCCCCCTGAGAATTGAGTCTGTTTTGGTTTCACACAAATGAGAATAAGCTTTGTACATTTTGTTGAATGTTGAGAATCATTTCAATGCTCCTGATGAGAGGCCATTTGATCAGCCGTGCTCTCTCATGCCACACATTTCCTCATACAGAAAACTTAACTTTTCTTCTTGGTAGGAATGTATGTTAGAAGAGCATTCAGTCACATATCCTGCTGTTGATTCAAAGTGTGTGTGTGTGTGCGTGTGCGTGTGTATGAAAGAATGTGTGATGCAATGGTTAGGAATAAGGAATACTTCTCAAAGTAACCTTATTTAAAGGGCTCTAATGAAGAAAAAGATAGAGGGAAGAATGAGAGTCCCCTTCTAGGGAAGATGGGTGACATAAAAAAATTAATATATTAGTTGAATTGTGCTCTGTGAGGAAAGGCAGAGTATACATTTATTAAATCTTGGTGAAATATGTACCTTCTATGTATTTGTCACCCACTCAGAATTCCAGATTATCTCCATGAGTTAAGGAAACTGCCTTTAGCTCTGTCTTAATTGTACCTTGCCTCTTGGGTGGCAAAGCAAAATGATCTTTTAGATCTGTGCATCCATAATAAACTTTAATGTCAATTTAACAGAATAACGTGGAATGTTATAGTCCAATTTCCTACTCATCCAGGAAACCGTATACCATTTCAGACAAATGGTTGTTCAATCTCTTCCTAAAAACCTCCAGTGTTGGATCACCCACAACTTCTGGAAATTTCTCCTTAGATCTAGGTTGGTTCTCTCCTTGATAGGTTTCCATCCGTTGCTTCTTGCCCTGCCTTCAGGTACTTTGGAGAATAGGTTGATCCCCTCTTTTTTCTGGCAGCCCCTTAGATATTGGAACACTGCTATACTATTAGCTCTATTCCTTTCTGTTAAACTAGACATACCCAGTTCCTGCAACCATTCTTCATATGTTTTAGCTTTCAGTTTGCTTCAGTGCATAAAGCTTAACACTGTTTATAAATCTTTTATAAATAAATCTTTTATAATAAAAAGTCTAGCCATATCGTAGGTCAGACATGTCAAACATAAGGCCCGGGGGCTGGATGCGGCCCACGAAG